CGTAAGTAACATAGAATATATTAAGGAATTCTTACACATTTGTTTTAGGCTCCGTTTGGAATGGAGGCTCTATATGCACATCCTCTGGAACTCTTATGGTTTGAAACTGGATTTTTTTATTGGAGGCATGCTTTTATGTGATCGTATAATTCTCCTTTGGGTTGGCTCTCCTTTCGTTCGACAGAAGCTATTGATATCCGTCGGTGAGTTATGCTTTCCAGTCAGGTGATTAAGTATCATAAAATGTCTTTATTTTCATGCTCCTAAGATTATCTGTAGACTAATTGGAGAAATTAATTTTGTTAAATGTTATTATTTAAAAAAAAAAGACTAATCATTGGACAAAATTTCCAGTAATAGAGATATTTGTCTAACACAAGGGGACCGTTACCCTCTCTATGCTGTGCAATCGTGAGAATATATTCATTATTATTTCGGCAAATAAAATTGTGATAGGTACTGCGAAACTGCCTTTCAGAACGGTCCCTAGTTACACTCCCACCATGAATGTGAGAGAGTATTCCCTTTCCCCAACATCCTTCCAAACCTACGCATTAAACTCTTTTAAGTGTTTGTCAATATTAGGTAGAAAGCACTTTCAGTTTTTCCGTCTGCATTTCTTCTCTGTCTTCTCAGGCTAAGCGTCTGTTTGTACGTTTATTGACCAATATTAATTTTTTCTTCTTTAAGTTACCTTTCTATATCCTTTGCCCACTATTCTGTTAGGTTTATGTCTTTTTCCTATTGGTTGTATAAGCTTTGTTTGTTTTATATATGTCGTAAGTATTTTCTCTCTGTTATTTGAATTTTAACTCTTGACGGTTTTTTCATGTTACTAAAGTTTTGAATTTTCATGTCGTCTGATCTATCAGTCATTTCCTTTATGGCTTTCTGCTTTAGTGTCTTGCTTAGAAAGGCCTTTCCTGAAAGATTAATGTTCATATAAATATATTTTTGTTGTTTCTTAGAAATCTGGTTAAATACCATAATTCAAGATTAGCAATTCCTTTATCCTTCTTTAATGAATCTAAGCCTATCTCTTTTTTGAAAAAAAAAATATATCTGTATTGAAACATTGAGCCTTCATTAAAGAACATTTCTCTTTTTTTCTGTCCATCAATTTTTTTTGACAAATGCACTGACCTGTAATATGTACATATTTCAGATGCTTCTTTTCTGTCTATTGGAAGACCTTTGTGGCACATTATTTATATCTAATGACTTTTTAAATGCCTAATATCCTGATTTTTTATTAATTTAAAATTATTCTACATTCATTGCATTTGACTCGGGGCTTATTCTGCCCACAAAGACGTATTCTGAGAATTATTTTAAACCACTAAAGTAGCAAGATTAACGCTTCTCATCTTAGGCAGGCAAAATTGGATATCAGTTTTTAGATATCGAGTCAGAAATAAAGGAGAAAACTCTACATGTGACTCTTTTTGAAAATATATGTTCTCCCAGCTATAGAAAGCACACTTGTATTCTAATTAATCATGGGATTCATTTAATCCCAACTTGTCATTACCTAAAAAAAAAAATAAAACAAGTAGCTGCACAGTAATTCGTGGTATAACTTTTTTAGTACTTGATATTAATTTCACATGACTTTTACTAAAAGGCATATGTTGTATTGTGG